TCTTTACATAGTTTTTCTATTTCATTTTTTTGAAAGTGGGGATAACGGTATGGTCGTACTTGTACATGTTTGGAGTTAGGCAGTAGGTTAATGTGATGGTTATGGGTACGATCGGGTGGTAGGGTGGATGGTGTGGAGAAAACCATATCGTACTGCTTGAGTAAGGATTGAATATCAGGTATGGGATGAGTTATGGGAGCGATGTGGTCAACAAGGGATGATGAATTCACAGAAGTGGTGGCGAAGCACATAAGGCATGATGCTATAGTGTCAAGGGACATAAGTTTACCCAGTGTGGATGAGGAAATTGGCGTTGGAAGGTTGGGTGGGTCTCCTTGTAGTTCAATAGAAGCGCCATTGTGAGTAAATGTCATCAAGAGCTCTGCGTAGTCTGTTATTATGGGCCCCAAGGTAGCCAACCATTGTACTCCAAGAACTACATCAGCTCTTTTAAGGTCGAGTACAAATAAATCCAATGTGAATGTGTGCTTTTGGAGCATCAGTGGGACATTGCTACACATTGCAGTGCAAGAAAGGCCTTCACCATTACCAACTTGGACATTAAATGGCGTGATGGCTTGCAAAATGAGACCTGCATGGGAAGCCATGCGTTCAGTAATAAAGTTATGTGTGCTCCCGCCATCAATCAGCACTTGTACTGGTTTTCCCTTTATGTAACCTGTCAAACGGAAGGACCTAGATGAGAAATTTTCGAATAAGGCATGTAAACTTATCTCCGAGGAGGATTCTGTGACTGGTGGATCTGGTAAATCCTGTGTAGTGTCAGCTGGGATCAAGGGAGGATCGTCCTCGTCTGTGCCCTCAAAGTATAACAATGTTGTTTTTCCTTTGCATTTGTGACCGAACACATAACGTTCGTCACAGTTGTAGCATAAATTTTTCTCTCTTTTTGCCTATATTTCAGCTGGGGTAAGGCGCTTAATAGGAAGGGTGGAGGTTTGAGGCTGATTTCTAGAAAAAGGAGTTGGTTGATTTGGGTTAGTGGTAGAGAAAGGTGGTTGTAATGGTGGTCTAGGGGGCCACTGTCTGATAGGTTTTGCCATGGTGTTTGTGTCAGCAAAGTGATCTTCGTACACCTTAGCCAAAGAGAATGTTGAATGTGCGTCTCGTGGCCTTTGAGTTTGTACTGCGCGGCGAATATGTGGCTTTAGGCCCGCAATAAATAGTGCACGACGCAATGTTGGTGATAGTCCGGGGACGCGGCTAGCTAGTGCTTCAAAAGCAGATTGAAAGGCACTAACGGTACCTTGTTGTTGCAAATTGGCAAGAGCCACTGCTGGGTCATCAAATTCAGAGGGACCAAATCGCTGCTGCAATGCTGTGACAAATGCTGTCCAACTTGGTAGTAGCCCGTCATTGAATAATCCTTGGAACCACGTAGATGCTGGTTTATCTAGGTTGAAGGAAGCTAACAACAAACGTTCTTGTTCTGGAATATTATAATAGTCAAAATACCGATTGGCACTGAATACCCAGTCTGAGGGATCCCCCTCTGCAAACCTGGGAAAGGTGGCTTTGTGCTGCTTGTAGTGATTCTGATCATTGGAATTGTTTGCTATTCGTATCGGGCCATGACCCAATATTCCGGAGGCTGAATGGTTTGAACTTGCAGTTCCTTGTTGATTTTCTAGCAGTTTGTTCAAGTTCTGTTTTAACAGAAGAAATTGTTGTTCCTGCGCCTCTTTCAATTGGGTGTGTGACTCTTGTAGACCAAGAAATTGTTGCTCTCTAACCCGTTCGGCTGCCTGTAGTTGTTGCTCCATGGAATCAATCCGTTGACTTAAATTACCAAGACGTGTCTTGTCTGCCATGAGAAGGATGAGATCAAATGAAAGCACCAATGAAGGAAGTAAATTTAAGAAGAGATCGTGGAGAAAGGAAAGAAGCAGGGAATAGAGAAGGGAGAGAAAAATTAAGAGAGAATTTGGGAATCAAATAAATCATGTTTATTCAATTCATTTTCTGAATTATATAGGAAATTAAAGCAATCAGCAACTAACACTAGAGATAATAAAATCAAGCAGAATCCTAATCCTATACTACTTCCACGGAAAGAAAACAACCAGATAAGCCAAGAAGATAACAACCCGTAAAATAAGCTAAACCATTAATCAGATAACTAGATTTCAAATAAACAACTAATTGCTACTGGAATCAAGGAGTGGGCTTCCTGACTCCCATCTCATACTCCTCCAAGTATTTGGGCTTCTGCACCTTCCTTTTGGGTCTGGTTCCTCTTAAGCCCGCTACATGTTGTCACTACGGATCAAAAATAATAATAATGTATAATCCACTTGTCAATTTCTTAAACGCAGACGCACGTACTATTGCCGCATACAAGATGATCTCCATATAGACATGACATGTAATTATTGGGTCAGTTGCCCATAATAGATCAAACCCAAATTTAATTTGTTTCCTAATCTCTTATTTAAAAGAGATATTTGTCGCTGTTGCTCCGGGGCACGGAGAGAGAGACAGACAAAGAAAGAAAAAATAAAGCTAGAGACGAAGAAGAAAACTTGTAGAGTATGATCCTTGTCCCTTTATAAAGTGATACAGTTTTGTGTGAGAAAAACCTTGGTTGTAGGTCAACATTTTAGAGAGTAAGGAAAGAACAAACTGTAAAGCAATGACTCTAGATATCTGTCCTAGGAGATTTATATTTTATAACACGAAAAGGTATCTCCTATATATGAATGATAATTCTTAGATCAACAATAATTGATTGGGAACGAATGTATTCCCCTTAATTAAAAGTTTCAAATTCATTCTCTAAGAATGAAGAAAATAGTATTAAAATTCGGGAAAATCATATCCAATACTAGAATCGAACTAGTTGAATTTTGATGAACTAACTGAAAAAATAAATAAATATGAAATGATAATCTTTGAGTTGAGAATTCTAGATAACCTTCAAGCAGGGCTTTTTGACAATTGTGTCATTTTATTAATAAATAATTACCATTTTGTCCCCGTACAAAAATATACCACACATTTGCCCCTGTTTATTGGGGTTTAAAGGGGGATACCCGGGTATAGTTCATGTTTTGGATCCTTTGAAATAATTACCTGGGTATATAGGGGGATACCCAGGTATATTGCGCGCCACAGACTGGGAAATGAGTGTGTGTGATGAACCTTGAAATTTTTGAATGAACCTCCCCAGAAGCTTCTCGCTTTGCCCATTTAACCTTACCATAAATGTCATTCTCCAGAACCAAGTTAAAGATTTGTTGAAGCTTATTATCTATGGATTCCTGTTAACCCCAAAGAAACTGATTGCCCTGTGCCCACGTTCCAAATCCAATGGGAAATACACTCACCAGTCATAATCATTAAAGCTTGCTACTCATAACAAAACACATCACATCATAGTAGTTCAAAGAAAAATTGTACCTTTTGACTAACTCAAAGGATACTACTACCTGGGTATTCTCCTCTATACCTGGGTATCTCCTTATATATCCGAGTATTCCTCTTTATATCGGGTAAACAGGGATAGATGGATGATATGTTTTGATATGGGGACAAAATGATAATTATTTATTAATGAAGGGACACAATGGTAAAAAAAACCCTTCAACTTGCCTTGATCATAATTAGTATTTATTTTGATTGAGCATCTTTTCTAGACGATTTGATAGTCTTAAAAGTTTTTGGAAAGCACCAAACAGTTGATGAGTATGTCAAACAATCGAGACGACGAGAAACTCTCATTGATAAATTGTGGACGCAATGTTTATTACTATATATGTCAAAATTTTAAAGTGATTGTGAAATCAATAAGAATGATGTTATTTAAATATTTTCTTTCCAATACTAACAAATAATTTTATGGGAATTCGTCAATGCGTAGATCTCAAAACGTTATGTGAAATAAATAAAAAATACCTGTTTCGGACTCCTGAGCCAAAAATTATGACCTTCTGAAGTTTTATGGTAAACTTGAACTCATGTAATCGATTACATCATTTAGTCTACGGCCAAATAGGGACTTGATAATTTTTGTTTTAAAAGGGATAAAAAAACCAAATAAATGTATGTTGTCCTTATTTTGAAAATATTTGGAAGATAAAATGCTCTTGTGGTGGCACCAACTCAAATTTTTTAAAACAGATTGGATTTTTTTTTTTTGACTAAATCCCTTTTAATGAAATATTGTATGTATCTCAAAAAGTTGTGGAATTAAAAAAATATCACTTGATTCGAACATTGAGTCAAAAGTTAAGTCTTCTGAAACTTTACGGTCAAACTATTAATTATTTCGTGCCATGTATCGTCATCTGATGAGTCCCGTTCAAATTGAACACTACTAGTCATGCCAATTTTAAACACCATTGATTGCTATAAATACATAATTTAATTCTAAAATATTATATTTTTATAATTTTTTATTTAAATAATAATATTTAAATTTTTGTGCCGACCTTCACATATAAGAGAAATCAACCTGTCCTATTGCTGAAAAAATTTTGTTCTTTCTGCATGGACATTAAAAATGTAAATTGTGATTATTTATTTTTTAAATTTAATTTTTTAATAGAACTTATCATAATGTCCTATTCAGAGGAAATTTAATTCTTGTCCTTGACAAGTTGATTACCCAACAAATAATTGGAGGAAAGCAGGAAAAACAATGTTGGGAAAGTAGTGGGTTAGGGGCATTGATAATGATAGGTCATGTCAACTTATGAGACGTTTGGTACAGGAGAAATTTTTTTTTATCCGAGAATCTTAATTTTAAAAATATAATTTTTATATTCAATTTATGATAATATCTAAAAATTAAAAATTTAGAAAAATTTATTTTTTCGAGAATCTTCAAAAATCTCGCGTACCAAACGGGTCTTTAATTTTTTTTATTAAAAACAAATTTCTTGGAGGCCAAGTACGGCAAAAAAAAAAATAACCACGTGTTATCAAATTGCTGGACAAAACCAAACACATCGGAATTTCACCACACCCTGTTTAAACCAAACCAAGAGGCAGCAGAGAGCACAACACGCTCAAACAGAAGAAAATGGAGAACAACGAAGAGCCACAAGCGCCGCCGCTAGTGCCGAGGGTGGCGGTGGTTGTATTTCTCTTGAAGGGAAGATCAGTCCTTCTCGGCCGCCGCCGCTCCTCCGTCGGCAACTCTACCTTCGCACTTCCCGGCGGCCACCTCGAATTCGGTCTCTCTCTCTCTCTCTCTCTCTCTCTCTCTTGTATTTATTTCATTTTTTTTCCCATCGCTCGCAGGTTGTTTCTCGAGAAAACATTTTAAAAAAATCGAAACTTTAATTTATTTTTGTGGTGGGTTTTCAAATTTCAGGGGAGAGCTTCGAGGAATGCGCGGCGAGAGAAGTGAAAGAGGAAACAGGGTTGGAGATAGGGAAAGCAGAGTTGTTAACTGTGACGAACAATGTGATGTTGGAGGAGAAGGAAAGGAAGTTGCATTACGTGACCATCTTCACGAGGGTAGTGGTGGATGTGAATATTGCACAAGAGCAAGTGCCACAGAATCTTGAGCCAGACAAGTGTGATGGTTGGGATTGGTATGACTGGGATCATTTGCCACAACCATTATTTGGGCCTTTAGAGAAAATGGTCAAAGGAGGTTTTGATCCCTTTCCTCTCTGATTCTATGTGGTTTTCTATTTATTCCCCCCTATCTCCCCCTTTTTTGTGTGTATTAATGGAATGAATTTTTTTGACTTGTATGTTTAGATGTTATTGAGACCATATGTGGCTGATATGTTTGAAATCTACTAGGAAGGTATTTGGTTTTTTTTTTTTTTTTTTTTTTTTTCCGGGTAATTGGTTTTATGTAAGGGTGTGAACTCTCGTTTTCATTTGCAGTAATCTGTTTATTAAGTTGTAATGAGTTTTTACTGGGTCGAATTTCAACTTTCATAGCATTCAATTTGAAGTTCCAGTCTAGGCTGACTCCTTCATCATTGGTAGTGTTGCTTTTGTCGTTGATGTCTTTTGGGAAATCGGCCTTCACAAATATGGGATAGGCAGTTGAAGTATTTGTCTCTTTGAAAGATGGTTTGTTACTATCCCATTTGCAAGTAACGAGACTTGGAGTTCCACATTGGTTGAATGGGCAACTAATGTGGGGTTTGTAAGGCCTTAGACACTCTCATCTTTTAAGCTAGTTTTTGGAATGGTGCACCTCAAGGGTTCTTATCAAATGGTATCAAAGTCTTTCACTATGCCTTTCGGCTTGGGACACGAGATACGGCATGACACTCCGATACGTTAATTCTAAAAAATGTTAAATTTTGATATGTTAGGACACATTTTGATATTAAATAACAATTTTAATTTATGTAGTATATATTATATTTAATAATTTAACAAAAAAGTGAAGGTAGACTTATAATACCAATTAATTTTACAAAAAAAAAAAACATAAGATATCCTAAATATTTATATTAAACGCAATAAAATGGTAATCATAATTCAATGAATTTAATAGTTGGTACTAAAAACGCAATGCAACATAACATTTTAATCCTCTTTTGAGTCTCTGCAATACGTGTTGGAGTGTCGGAATGTTCGGAAGTGTCGGACACACAAAGTTTTTGAAGTGTTGGTGCTTTATAATCTCTCGGTTGCAATCGAGCGGCGCGGGTGGTGACGCTAGCATTGCAGTGTTCGCTCAGAGCTAGTAAAAGACTAGCGCAAAGTCAGCTCGCGTGGGCGCCGTGGTGCGGAGCGTGGTGGAATGTTACGACCCTTGGCCACTTTTAGCTTTTAGAGTGGTGCACTTGAAGGTTCTGATCAGGGTTACAATGTTACACTAGAGGAGATAATACAATTTTGTCAGAATCTTTTGCCTCGCTATATGGCTCCTAAGACTCGTGTTTTTTGATCTGCCAAAGACATCAACTGGCAAGACATAGAAATATGTTATGAGGGAGAAGGCAAAGGCCATGGGAAGCTTGTTTAAGAAGAACAATAGCCGCTTATAAAAGCACATTCATTTCGCAATTTGAACGCAATGTTAAAAGTTATCTGATTTCATGTTGTAATTTTAATTCCAGTGTAAAATTTGTCTATTTGCTGAATGAATAAAACACGTGTAAACTCAAATGGACTAAGTTGATCGTTTTATCTATTCAAGGGTGAGAGGTGCGAGAGAACAAATAATTAATTCTATCTCTTCCTTAGATTCTAATCCTCAATTTTCTCCTTTTTAAACCCTATCTGGTTATCGATTGATGTAATAGTTATGTAAAGTTGATCTGTAGACAAAGAGAGTCACAAGATGAGACGATGGGAGGGTCATTTTCATCCTTATTCTGGAGCTCAAAATTCTCATTTAGCCGGCAAACGAAAAATACCACGGTATTTTCAAATAGTAAATTTCATCACAGTTTTCACATAAATTGCAAATTCAAGGCAACATATTTTGCTAGTATAATTTTTGTGAAAATTGTACCAAACATAGTATACTACAAAACCCACCTATATTTCTCCAGCAATCACAAAATAAACCTTGTACCAAACACATCCTAAAGAAGTTATTAAGTAACTTTGTGTCGTTTTAGTTGAATAAGTGTATTTTTATTTTTTAGTAGGTTTTTATCTTCTCTTCTTCGTAATAATTTCTCTTTCCTTCTCCTCTTAATTTTGCTTGTGGATAACGGTGTAAGTAGGTTGGATTAGGTGACTGTTTGGATCCTCTCCTTTTTAAATTAGAAGCTACTTATGAGCATAAATTAGGCCAAATAAGTTTTGAAAAAAGTTTTTTATAATGAAAAAACTTTTTTTATAATGAAAAAAAAAAAGCTAAAAGCTTTTATGAGGAGCTTTTTTAAAAGCTCTTATCTGTTTTTCTTGAATTGTGTGCTTTTTTAAAATGAAGAACTATAGAGATAGAAAAAGATAGTTTTCTTGAAATATGTGTTTTTAAACTAAATTTTTTATGTAATTACCAAATATCTTTTAGCTTTTTTTTAATATTTTTTTTTTAGCTTTAGTTTATAAGTAGTTTCTAGCTTAAAAAAGAGAGGATCCAAACTGGCTCTAGGTTAGGCTTTGATTTAAATAGACCTGGCTTATATAAAATGCTTTAGGCTTGGTTTGATCTGTTAACCTGTATAGGTTCAAAATATAAGTCTGACTTGACCTATATTTAAAAAATAAAATCCTAGGCCTATATTAGCCTATTTAACCATATTAGACATTCAATAATTAAAAAAAATAAAAATTATTATTTTACTATTTAAAATCATTAAAATAATAATTTATTTATTTTATTTAAAAAATAATATGATATAGGTCGGCCTTTAAATTTATACGCTCGACATGTCAAAGAAAGCTTATGACCTACTTTTTAAATAGACTTTTTTGAGGACTGAATTTGTTCTATTTCACTATATGTAATATCTCGAGCCATAAATCTTTGTTAGGCCAGCTGACCTATTTACATCCTTACTCTTGGATAAAAATAATATAAAAAATTATTAAATATATATCAAAATATAATTATTTCACTTAAAATAATACAAAATTTTAATTATGTACACGTTGCCTTCGCTTTTGTACTTCAATTTGCCATATCCAGTTGGAATCAAACAGGATCAATATGGATATGCCACCTTGTTTGTAAGAAGTAGGTATTTTTTTTAACTGATTGAATTTAAGTACATCATAATTTAAATTTGTTAAATTTAAAGCATATTTTTTTAATTTATTCACTTTAAAATAATATTATTTTAAAGGCTTTTTTCTTTATATATATTAGTAAGCCTATTTTTTATTGTACAGATATTTTAAATTCTGGTAAATTATAAGAAATTAAAGTAAAAATATTTAGGAGAAAAAATTCTAATTATAAAAAATACGTTCATAATTAATTTATACATAATATAATTATTATTAGGTTTTCTTGTTTATATATATATATATATATATATATATATATATATATATATATATATATATTCTAATTTTGTCATGTGATAAAAAATTTATGTGTGGGACGATTATATAATTAACATTTGATATATGCATGTAATATGAGAATTAGAGCAAAGACTTAAGTCTATTGAATATGAGTACAAAACTGAAAATATTTCTCTACTTCTCAGTGTTTGGAGTGTTTTTAATTTTTTATTAATAATTATAAAATTATTATTTCTTATATTTTATTTTTTTTGTAATTTTTCATAGAGAAAATTAGGCAAATAAAAAATCGTCATATTTATTATTTCTCTCAAAAAAAAAATTTAAAAAGAAACAATACAATAAATTAAAATTTTTATAATCATTAATAAAATACAGATTATTTAAAAATTAAAGAAATATAAAACAAAACATTCCTTAAAAGCAACAAAAGAAAATCAAAACTCTGAATAATTGATTTTAAAAAAGAAAAAAACCCTTAAAAAAAATCGGTTGGTGGAGCAACCCACTAACTTGTAGGCTAACTCAGGACACACTAGCATTTTGGTACCTCATCTAAAATGCAGGCCAACCTCGTTCAACCCGTTTATTATTAACTCATTGTTGGTCCAGTTAGTATACCTCTACTTGTAATCAGGTACAAAATGATTTTATTTAGCTTTTATCTTTGATATATGTTATATCTGATAAAAAAAGTTATTTTTTTTTTTTACCAAAAAAAAAATTATTTTTTTTAAATTAGATGTGCTTAGCTCCCTTTATTTGGGCCAATTATATTTTAATCATGTTATGATTGATTTAAACATAAGTTAATTGTATTTTATTTTTTTTGACTGACGTGTACTGATTGACTCAAAAAGACGTTAGAATTGGATGAGATAAACTTTATTTTATATTGATAAAATAATATGATGATTGTCATAGTGTTTTGATGGATTGGAACTCGTTCTCGTTTTAGTGACCTAAACCTAACAATTCGTAGAATGGAAAATTCCCTTCAATTTCCTAAACCAAATGCAACTAAATGCATTCACACATTGTCATGTGTATGCTCTTCGATCGAGATACCTCTATTATGCACGTTACTTTTTGCGTGAAACGTGATAAAAAAAAATGGACAAATATGATCACCATGTGTATGAGATAATGAACTGGATCGGTGACCCTAATTATTTATAGGGAGGGATTACATTGATGAGTTTGTATTTCATGAAGAATCATCTTCCTGAATAGTCACTGATTTGAATAAAGAAGGGGGACCCACTTAACTCTATACACCTGGAGCTCATTTTTAGTACAGCAGTAGTACGTACTACTGTCATTGAAAATAAAACACTTGATTTTAATATACTGTTTTCTCTTTCCCAAGTCATCAATCATCATAGTTGTTTAATTTTTATTGGAGAGATGTATAGAAAAATGGATAAGACAATAGTATTATAGAAATTTTCGTAAACCGGGTATTCAAATTAGAACAATTTTTATGATAATATCATATTTAAGATATAGTTTTGTTTTACAAATTTTAATATTTATCATATTTAAGAGTAGATTTCGATACTCAGTAGTGGTATTACCCTGCACCAACTCCAAAAAGGAAGGCCAAAGTAAACCCTTATATTGATAGACCACAGAAAGGTCACAAGGGACTCAAGTAGGGTTCGCAAAATGAGTCAATCTGACTCTATCTGGTCTAATCCGCATGCAATCCAAAAAAAATAAACCGGTTAAATTGACTCGAAAAAAAAATGAACCAGAAAACTCAATCCAACTCAACCTGAGTCGGGTTAGGGTTGACTCAAAAATATAGCTCGCGGGTTGGCTCTTTTTTAGCCTAATTAAATCAACCTGTGGCATTAATGCACCAGCTATGTGATTTTCATCAGCTTAAACAAAGGGTTACAAAATGAGAAATAAAAGCAAAATATTATAGTTTCGAATTTT